CCTATACGGGTTCGGTGGTACAGGAAAAACATTTATTTGGAATACTCTTTCAGCATCTATTAGATCAAAAGCTGGAATCGTACTTAATGTTGCTTCTAGCGGAATTGCTTCCCTTCTGCTTCCTGGAGGACGAACATCGCATTCTAGATTTCGTATTCCTATTCAAATCAATGAAGATTCAACGTGTAATATAAGGCCGAAATCTACTATAGCTGAGTTGCTGTAAAAAACAAAGTTAATCATTTGGGATGAAGCTCCAATGGTACATAGATTTTGCTTTGAGGCTCTGGATAGGACACTGAGAGATGTTCTTAGAATTTCTGATACAAGCTGTGTTGATATGCCATTTGGTGAAAAAGTTGTTGTTCTAGGAGGTGACTTTTGGCAAATATTACCTGTCATTCCTCATGGCAGCAGACAAGATATAGTTCATGCAACCATCAATTCTTCTCATTTATGGTCCCATTGTCATTTATTAACTTTGACCAAGAACATGCGTCTTAATTCTGGAAGTAGCACTCACAATTTAGAGGAAATAAAAGAATTTTCTGAGTGGCTACTTAAAGTTGGGGATGGTAATCTTGGAGATGATGTTGATGGAGAATCTATTATAACAATTCCAGATGAATTGTTGATTGTCGAATCGGAAGATCCGCTGTCGGATATGGTTAATTTTGTTTATCCGAATCTCTTGGATAATATTTTGGATCAGACCTTCTTTATAGAACGTGTTATTCTAACTCCTAAATTGTCTGATGTTGCTATGTTAAACGAGCACCTAATGTCTATGATTCCTGGTGAAGAAAGGACTTTTTTGAGTTCGGATAAAATTCTTAAGCAAGGTGGGACTTCCTCTGTTGAGGATGATGAAATCACCCCTGAGATCTTAAATACATTATCATGCTCAGGGATTCCTGATAATAAATTAATCTTGAAAGTTAAAGTTCCAGTAATGCTATTAAGAAATATTGATCAGTCGAGAGGTTTATGCAATGGCACGAGATTGCTTATTACAAAATTAGGGAATCATGTTGTTGAGGCAATTGTACTTACAGGAAGCAATATAGGGGAAACTGTGTTAATCCCTAGAATGACGATGAGCCCATCGAGTCATACGTTTCCTGTAAATTTCCAAAGAAGACAATTCCCCCTGATTGTATCGTTTGCCATGACTATCAACAAGAGTCAAGGACAATCACTTTCACATGTTGCAATTTATCTCCCTAAGCCTGTCTTCACTCATGGGCAATTATATGTGGCACTGTCTAGAGTAAAGAGTAAGCATGGATTGAAGATATTGATACTTGATGAAAATGGCTGCGTTACGAATAGTACCCTTAATATAGTTTACAAGGAAGTATTTCAAAGATTGCTATAGTATATTGGGTTCTTTCTTCAAAGATATAACTTCGTTGTATGTTACAGGTAAAGACAAAAAAAATGACTATTTATTCGCGTCTCTTTTCCTTATCTATCTTCAAAGATATGAACTTTATTATCCCATTTTCTTTCCTATTTTTAATGTAACAATGAATGACTGTTTTGTTATTTAAAAAAATGACTATTTGAGACCTTTGAAATACTGACAAAATGAGTTCGGCCCGGAGGGCCGACCCACCATGCCAAACAAACCAATTTTTTTTCCCGTGCATCAGCACGGGTAGTTCACTAGTTTAATGTTAAATTGGAATCGATTGTTTACCGAAAGAATTATTGCGTTCTTCCCGTGTCCTGCTCCCTCACAAATCATATATATTCCACTGCTGTATTTGTATGTGCCATAATATTTTTACTCTTGAGATCCATACTTTTCAGTAATTTTAAAGCATACAAATATTTATTTACAATAAAAAATGATTTTTTAAATAAGAAAGTGACTTTCCTTCTATATTTAAACTTATTTGTCATTTTTCCACTCAAAAATCTTATTTATCAATTTTAATTTCATAAATATTTCACTTTAGAGCGTTACTTTAGGGGAGCTCGAAATAATGTGAAGATTTTTTTGGGCTACTTTTTTTATTTTTATGGATTAAGTGAAAAATTACTGTAAGTTTGACATTATATTTTGGGACAGGATATTGTGACAACCAAATAATGTTATTGCCAATGTTACTATCACATCTTAACTGTTGATTTTCGTCAATCAACGGTTATCATTTATTGCGAATTAATAATTAATTAATGAGTTTGATTTGAAAAATTATAACCGTTGATTGGCGAAAATCAATGGGTAAGATGTGATATTAACATTATTAGTAACATTATTTGGTTGTCACAATATTCTATCCCTTATATTTTTGACTAAATACTTTAAAGTATTGTGTTTATGATTTTTTTCTACTTACATAAACTTATTTTGTTTCATTAATTTTTGATGCGGGACTTTTTTATTTACATTTGAACTTCTGACAATAGACTCAACTTGTAGTATCAAATAGTGTTAACAAAATAGTTATGTACCCAATAAAAAAAAAGTTTTAATTTTATTGATAAGTCATTTATAAATACTAGTATTTTAACCCGAGTGATGCACGAAGAAAGAAAGAAGTCGATTTGTTTGTCTCATAAAAGTTAACGTAAATTTTAAATAAAATTTATAAATGCAATTTTGTAGGACACAATTATTAAAGAAATAATTAAAAGATAAAATAGATAAGGGATTTGCAACTTAATATTGAATGATGTCTATAATAGATTATAAGAATGTTACATTAGTGACTCTAAAAATCTTCAATAAATCCATTGAAAGAGATTTCAGGAGTATCTGTCTCTGTTTCTCCATCGCTCCTCGCTTTGCAGAAGATGAAGAAGTAACCATTGAAAGAAGGTTAAGGAAAAAAAACATCAGAAGGTTTCAGAAAATAATCAGGATTAAGTGACTATCATGTAGTTTACAAAAAGAAAATAAACTTCTTGATACATATAAATTAAAAGAAGTAGGTTGAAGTATAGACACATGAATAATAAAAAATTTAATGACAAAATAGTTTTAAGATGCAGAATGTGTCTCTTCATTTTTTTTAGTTGGAGATGGTTTACCATATATTTCATTAAACCTTTTATTTCGTAATCAAACAAAGCAATAAATATTTTAAAATTTCAAGTAATAAGCGAATTATTTTATATTAATTATTGCAGAAGATTAACTTCAAAAGTTCAAAAGATGAAGAAGAAAAACAAACACAAAAAATTTAGATTATATTAAATATCATAACGTCAAATAATTAATGTTTAACCTAATGTTAAACATTAGACAATCATCCACAATCGTTCAATCAAACATCAAATAAATATTAAGACATTGTATATTTCCTAACTGTCTAATAATTCTTAAATATATAGTTCAACAACACCCAGAACAATATTGATGCTACACAACTTCTACCCCAACAGCTCTATCTATACACAACTTCCCTTTCTCCCGCAAGGTGTCTCCGACTTCAGCAATAGAACTAATTAAAAAAAATTGTTGAAGTCACTATATATTGTATTAATGATATAGACTATAGAAATAATATGTAGTAAAAAATTATAAACACACAAATAATGGGTAAGTACTTAACTCTTTCTTTATCTTAATCTCTTTTTAGTACGATTAACTGAAAAATTAAAATCCTCTTCCTTGACGACATCAGATTTTATAATCAATAGTGACAACAAAGTGAGGGAAACATCGGCACTATCACATGTTTGACTCTCATCATCCTGATAAGACATTAAAATTATGAAACGTTATACAAATAATGCAAAAAATATTTAATTGATAAAATCTGATTTTAATTTAAAGATACCGTAGCTCTTTCTGGATCTCCTGATACAACACCAGTGTCACAAGCATTACGAATACTGCTTGATTCTGAAAATTAAAAATATTTGTAAAACTAATGCAAAGTACTAATATAATCAAATAACGTTTAAAAATGAAAACAACATACATTCGGGTCAACAACAGATTTAAGGTATGATGCGATAATAGTTTCGCTACAACAAACTTTAGAAACTTGATAATTTGGCTCCGTGTACGATTCCAAATTCTTCTTTTTTATATTGACTTTAAATAACATGGATTTATCATGAAGAACGTTAAGCTCTTCCAGATAATGATCCAAATCACCACCCTGCATCAAAATGTTGTACAAAGTTAATTTAATTAATTAATTTTTCTTAAAGGAAACTCAGTGAACAGAAAATGCGGAGGAATTAGAATGAAACCCTTTTGAAATGTTGCTCGCATAAATTAGCAGCACACATTCCCAACAAAGCAACATAGTCTCCACCGAACAGAAGAAAAGATGTAGAATCTATTTTATCCATAACTCTCACTTGAATACTAAATCTGTCAGATATTAACACTTGTTGTTTAAGTACGCATCACAAAGGAATAAGTATTGTGTCCTTCCATAATAATCCTGCACAAATGGATGGGATGGAGTTGCCTCAGGAACTCTAAATTTAGTCTTTACATGTTTTTCATTGCTCCTGGGTTTTTCCATCTTAACTTTTGGCTTGTGTTCCTCATAGTTCTGATGGACTTCCTTCTTGTTCCTTTTATCAACTTCCTTCTCATCAATGTAGTAAACTTTATCCCCAGATTTTCTAGTCAATTCAACTAACTCTTCTATTTGTGCATTTAAAACTTCAGTTGAATCGATGTCTTTAACTACCTCAATCAATAGATCATCATTGAGTAGCTATGAGGAGTGCAAAATGTCTGCAAACTGATCTTCAATAGTGGGAGGTTTCGTTTCCTGAAGGATCTTTTCTAAAACTGCTTCTTCTATTACATCGACCTGAAAGCAATCTTCTTTGTCTTCAGGATGCTTCATAGCCTCAAAGACATTGATGATGACATTTTCATCATTCATTCTCAATTCTAACTTTCCTTGCTCCACATCAATTAATGCTCTGGCGGTGGCTAAGAAGGGTCTTCCCAATAGAAGGGGCACATCACCTTTTTCTTCCATATCTAGGATTATGAAATCAGCACGGAAGATGAATTAGTCAACCTCGACGAGGATGTCTTCAATGACTCTATTTGGTCTTCTCAAAGATCTATCAGCAAGTTGCAATGAGACTATAATAGGCTTTAATTCTGAAATCCCCAAAGACTTCATTACTGACAATGGCATGAGGTTGATGCTTGCTCCAAGATCGCATAATGTCCGACCAACATTAATGTTGCCTATCGTAATTGGAATGTTGAAGCTTCCTGGATCTCTGAGCTTTAGTGGGAATTTCTTTTGAATAATAGCGCTACACTCCTCTGTAAGAGCCACTATCTCAAATTCCTGCAACTTATGCTTTCTAGAGAATAAATGTTTCATAAATTTAGCATAGTGAGACATGTTAGTTAATGCTTTAGCAAAAAAAGTATTAATTTGCAATTTTTTTAAAAAATCTAAAAACATGGCATATTGTTGCTTGAGCCTTATGGGATAAGGAGGTTTCTCAAAACGTGAAAAATTTCATTGCTTCTTTTGAACTATAGGAGGTTGGTCCTTTGCTTTTTCTCTGTCTTCTTGAGTGTGCTCATTGTTACTTGTAGAAGCTTCAATTTTCTCCTTGTCTTGCTCCTCTTAATTGTTAAGCTTACATCTAGCTTTTTTTACACCACCTTTGGTTTTTCTTGATTTTCAATCACCTTCCCGCTTCTAGTGGTAATTGCCTTGCAATGCTCTCGCGAGTTAACCACAGTGTCACTAGGGAAAGTGCCTTGACTTCTCTCAGCTAGTTGCCTTGAAAGCTGCCCAATTTGACTCTCCAAATTTCTGATAGATGCATCTTAATTCTTGAAGGAAGTCCTTGCCTCCTGAATGAATGCACTTGTATCACTCCTAAATGCATCGATGCCTTGCATATAGTCTGTGGTGGTCTTGGTTAAATGCATTAATGCCTTTTCGAACTCAAAAGTAGTGTTCTGTGGAGGTAGTGGTTGCAACTGGTGTGGTGACTGGTATGGAAAGCTTGGAGTATACTTTCATCTTGGATTGTAAGCATCACCATAGCGACTACTCTGGTTCCTTTGAGGGTTCCCCATATAATTAACTTGAGCTGGTTCTGTTCCAACTAGGGTATCACAATCCCTAGTATCATGATTTCCTCTACAATACTCACAAGCTAGTGGTTAAACTTGAATAGCAGAAGCTTGAAAGTTCTCAAACATGCTAGTGATATTTGCAATTTGTTGAGATATGAGCTTTTGTTGTGCTAGCATTGCTCTCCAGATGGAAGACTCATTTCTTTGTTTGCATTGAGATACTCTCATTCTCTAATGAAGCCATGGATTCAAACAACTTTAATGCTTGAGTTGGTGTCTTCTGTCTTATGGATCCTCTTGCGGCAGCATTGATCATCATTCTCGATGTGATCCCGTTGAAAAATAGATGAACTTTCTCCCAGGGTTGTAGCTCATATTGACGACACCTCCTCAGCAGCTCCTTGAATCTTTTCCATGCTGCACACAAGGTATCTCTTTCAGGTTGAATAAAGTTGGTGATCTCATTCACCATCTGGTTGTACTTGGTCATTGGAAAGAATCGAGCTAAAAACTTTGCAGCCATGTCATCTCAAGTACTGATGTTGTTGACACAACCAATTGAGTGCTTCTTCTTTGAGAGAAAATAGGAACAACCACAACCTGATTGCATCATCCGTCACGCCACCCCACTTGACAGTGTCACATATCACTAAGAAGTTGTCTAGATAAGCATGTGGATCTTCTAAATCATCTCCTTCGAACTATTTTTGTTGGACCAATGTCAACAATGTCGGCTTGATTTCAAAGTTGTTAACTGTAATTGTTGGTCTCGCGATGCTTGAGTTCGGCCTTGTGAAACTCGGCGTGAGAATCACGTCCATCAGTTCTTCAGGAAGAGGTGGTAGTGGATTATTTTCGGCCATATCTGGTTTCGCTCTTGGCTGTGAACTACAGGATTCTTCTTGTTTCTTTATTTTGGTGAGTTTCATGTTCCTCTTTGCAGTCTTCTCAATCTCTGGATCAAATTGTAAAGAAGAAGGATGAACTGTGTCTCGCATAAAATAAGAAAATAATTTATTAAAAAATAAATAAAAAAATAAAGTCCAATCTTAAAGATCGAAAGCTACGAATAATATTAGCGTAAATTAATCCCCGACAACAGCACCAAGAACTTGTTGCGTTCACGACAAGTATATCGGTCGTACAAGTAATAGAGTAATGAGTAGATTTGTCGTCACACGAGGATTAATTGTACCAAGCACTATTCTCATTATTCCCTTTAATTTGGACAGATCAAAGTAATTGGAAGAATAATTTTTAATAATAAAACTAAATTTAAAGATAATTGCAATTAAAATAATTAAGGCAAAGAATGCTGAGAACTAAAACGGAGTTTAAGATTAATAATGGAAACTGTAACTATGGAATATTTCACATCTGATCCTCCTTGAGTAGTATAAATTAATTTCAATAATAAACTATCTCAATTATTTCAAACAATTCACCTTATAATTAATTAGTTGGTTAAATCCTAATTTCTTAGTGACTTTAACCCTTTAACCCAATTAGAACCCTAATGTCTTAGTAATTCCTTTTAGATTAAGCATTAAGCTTGATGAATTCTAAAAGTTTGCAATCCAAGCAAGCCTATGTCTAGATCATGCAAGAACTAGTATTTTACCCCTGTCAGGATTAAAATCCCAATATGCCTATTGTGAACTCTAACTCTCAAATTCCTATAAGAATGATCAATTCATACAAGAATATATAAATTTAATCCAAGGTAAAACACAAACAATCTGAGATAATTTGTTAAAGAAACAATTTAAACCACAAAAAGGATTCACGTTGGATCCGTAACCCTTACTTCAAAAGAAACTTAGCCAGACATAATTGGTTGAAACAAAATAAAGAAAGGAAAAAGAAATAGAAGAAGTCATGAAGAAGACGAAGAAGAAAAGAAATCAATGTTGCTCAATTCTTCAAGTCTTCTCTCTCTTTGAAATTCTCCAATCTCCAACAAGAGCTCCTTTCTTTCTGAATGTGCCAGCTTCTTTCTGTTTCCAAGAGTTGGCTTTTTATAGTGATAAAATCATATATTTTAATTTTCCATAATATCTTTAATGGAATCTTCACTAGAATCTCTAATCATATCTTTAATCAAATCTTTAAAATCTTCCCTTTTATATTTAAAGAAAAACTTTCCTTAAATATATTCAATGCAAGATTCAATTAGATTTCAATGAATTATATGATTCAAAAATCCAAAGAAAATCCACTTGAGCTCTCCAATTTATCTCTTTATTGAGCTAAAAATTATTGCAAAATATAAATTTTTTTATGAGAGTATTACTAAGAATAAAAAAATACTTTAATTATAATCGAGTTTTCCTACCTCTAATCGCAAGAAAATAAATTAACCAAGAAAATGTAATTAGCAGAACACTTGTAATTAAAATGCAATCAAATAAATCCAAACACAATTCAATTTGAGTATTTTCTTTTTTTGGTAAATAACATGGAGGTATCCCCACACAACCTCATACCTTGTCCTCGGAATACGGTCTCTAAGGCTAGCTCCTTATTGGAATAGAGAGTACATTGGGTCACTGTCATCGGAGGAAGGGTGAGAATAATCCCCCATCGAGGGGAGGCAGTTCCCCTTCGATCCCCAAAAATTTTCATGACTTTGCTTTTATCCAAGTTTGAACCCCTAGTCAAAGCAAATTCTTGAATACTTAGTTGACAGCTACCCTTTATGGTTTTTAGTGTTGTGAAACTCGGCTCGACGCGAAACCTGATGAACCGGACATTGGAATGATTCAAGTCAATCATCGGACCAGCCATACATTGGACCCAGTCAAAACCGGTGACTCGGTGACCTGGTCGGGTCATGCATTTTTAGAAATAAATAAAAAAACAAAATTGTTTCATCTTGTTAAAAAAAATGTAAAACTCATTTTAATTTTTTTTGTAATTTTATTTGCTAGTAGTATATTCTTCTTTAATGACCTCAAATTTCAACTTCCAATACTGAAGCAATTTGTGCAACAATAAATTAAGAGAATGTGATATATGTCATTTCAATGTAGAAGAATTTGAAAAATATGAATTCATAACATCTAGCCTTTTGAATGTCATTTAAAGGTATGCTTATGGGAATTCTGAGTTACAATTTAAATTGACATAGTAATAGCGTGCATTTTCATTTATTTGTGTTTTATGAACTTGTAAAAGTGTGATTGAGTAATTTTTGAACTTATTTAGTTAAGTTTGTTTAACTCCTTTTAGATGTGGAGAATATAATTAAATTTATATGTTCATATTTTTATATATATATTTATATATATCAATGATCCACCGATCTGATTAATAACCTGTTGGATATTTGTATACCCCAATTGTTTAATTGATTTAAAATATGTTTTGATGATTACAATCAATTTAATGTTAATTTAATTGATAATATTTAATTGTCTTGAAATTACTAATGAGCTGATTGTTTGAGATTTCAGAATAATATTTATTCTGATTTGAAATAGTATTAAAGATAATTGAAGATTGCATGAAGATTGGAGAAGATATGGAAAATATCATTAAGAGAAAGAAAATTAGAAAAGCATGGGATCAAGTCAGGTTTAGAATAGATTTTATCTTTTAAATTTCATATAAGAGAAATAAAATATTTTTTGCCAAAGATTTGATTAGGATTGCATTGCATAATAGAATAAGATATTTAAGGTTTACATATTTTTTATTTGAAAAAATCAGAAATCTTATTTTTGAAAATTTCATTTAAGGGTAAAAGATTTCTAGTTAGATTTTGGAAAAGATTTTAAACTTAAATATTATACCTTTTGGGCTTTTAGGAGAGAGAAAATGTTATTATTATAAATAGGGCTCATTGCATATTATTCATAGAGAAAAAAATACAAGAGAGAAAAGAGAGAAGAATATACAATAAAGAAAAGAGAGAATTAGATTTGCAAGATTAGAATTCTTTCTTGTGCACCAATTAAAGAGCTTTTTCAATAATAATCATTCATATATTCATCCTTTGGCAAAGTAAATATTTCTCCATAGGAATTCAGATTACCTATATGCTTAAGCAAAAGAAGCACTGAGGTAAATACTTTAATTGTAATTTTCTTCTTGACCTTTTTGAAGGTCTGTTCTGGGAAACTTGGATATCAGTCCTTGTGCTGGGAAATTGGGATACCAGCACGTCTCTTTTTCTTGAAAATTGAGAGTAACTCGAGAATCCTTGTGTGATAGGGTTTCAGAATACTAAAGAATTAGAATTTCGTACTAGGAAACTAGAATAACAGTTAGAAATTTGTGTAAGGGGTAGACTAGAAAACTAGGATACTAAAGAACTCATTGTACGCAAGTTTCATAGTGGAATTTTCCGTCGAATTTCAGTATTCAATTTTAAGGCCCGTGGTTTTTCTTCCGTTTTGGGTTTTTCACGTAAAAATTATTGTGTTAATATCTCTCTATCCTTATCCTGATTTAATACTTTGAGTTAATTTTTAATTAGCAAATTATTTTTATAAAACTCAATTCACCCCTTTTAAGTTTATCCGAAACCAACATAATCTATCAATCCAATCAATGATCCAATATCCCGTCCAAGTCGATGATCGGATTGAATTTAATAATTTTGAGTATGTTTTATATCATTGGTTCTACGATAGAGGTGTTGTGGTACCTTCGGCACATTTGATAACAGCACTCGCAAAATCAAAAAAGAGAAAGCAAAACAAAAATAAAAACCCACAAAATATTAGTTACAAAAAGCAAAATGGTTGGAGCATGCATGTCTTGTTGTTTTTGTACTATGATTAATCTACCATGTCAGCCAATCTTCATTAATTAAGATAATAATTTAGCAGTTCATAAGATATGAATATCAGAATATGAATCGGTCCGTTTTAGCATGCTCCCTGTACCTGAGACGCATGTGAAGTTAAATAATAAAAATATTCCTAGGCTGGCAAAACCGTTAATAGTAAAAGAGAAAGGGACAAAATGGGGAATGTATGAGTAACACGCGCGCCCAATAGTAACTTCCCACGTCGCCTCAATTCAGTAAACAGAGTTTGTTGGTACAGAGAAACAGTAAAAAGCGCTTTTAAATACCAAACACTGACACACAAACGACGCATCCATTCCTCTCTTTCTCTCTATTTGTGTCTCTCTCTTTGGGCTTTGGTTTCTCTCTCCTCTTCGATCCCAAATCTACTAGGGTTAGGGTTTCATCGCCCCTGTCTCGTTTTCAATTTTTGTTTTACTCATTAATCCGATATCGTATTCGATTATTAATTATTCAGTTCCCTTTTGGTGTTTCATTCGGTGAGTTCAGGATTCATATCCGATGCGATTCTGAGCTTGTAGATCCACGTCGAGGTTTCATTTTCCAGGTTTTTTTTCTTTTATTGCCAACAGGTTAGATTATCGTATGTCTTGCAATTTTCTCGTGGACGACGTGTCTTTGATTCGATTCATTGGTAATGATTATGTGTCGTTTTAATTGTCATGTGTTATGTGAATGAATCCGAGTTATAGTTGGATGGAAATACTAAGTTCTGTTTGCATATAGGGACAAAGAATAGAGGCGTAGGGTCTTTTTTTTCTCACATGCCATGGTTGTGTTATTGAATTTTTAATCAATTTAGTAAAATTTTCGCTGCTGAGACTCAACAGTATGGTGTTAGAGTTCTGGCTTTATAATCTGATTGGTGTGTATTACTGTTCTGGCTATAGCTTCTGGACTTGTTTGTTGCTAAAAATTGAGACTTGAATGCTTTGGGGGGGTTTGTTATTTGTGTTTCTCTGTTTATTTTTCCTGAATTTTCTGTCAAAAGATTTTTATTGTTGGTCAATAGGTAGATGATGTGATGTTAAATGTTTTCACGATTTCCTTAAATGTTTTTACTAAAGGTTTCAATTTTCATAGTGATGGTTAGCTTTGAGCAAAAACGTTTAGAAGTCGGTCAACAGGATTCATTTTCCATTCTGCTCGATATAGATAAGGATGTGGCTTCTTCTAATTATATGTGACCCGGGAAGGCTTGTGGTTTGATATATCAACCGAACAGGTGTTGAGCACTAGTTGAACTGAGGAGTCATATATGCACTTGAAAAATATAAAGCTTTTTTAAAAACAGGACTTGCTTAGAAAAGTCCTACTTGACTGCTTTCTGTTATCTTATTACAGTTTGAGCATCTGCAACTATCTTAATCTTTTAGCCAGAAGTAGTGTGTGTTTATAATTGAGAAGAAATGAAGTAGTATACATTGATATATATTTCATCTTGTTTGTGGTGAATTCTAATTGAAATGGATGTTCTGTAAGATTTTTAGTACTGCATGAAGTCTATGTGCAATCCGTAAGCACTTAAAATTGTATTAGTGCCTTAACTTTCTCTTTTATGGTCGGGGGTCGGGGATAGAGTGCTGGGATACTGGGATTGTTTTAAACTACCCTTTTATTGGTGTAGAAAGGCATTTCATAACTAATATTGCTATTTTGACTTGTTTGAATTATATTGATATAAACTTCTGAGTTCTTTTAAGATTTGTTTTTAACATTCATAATTGTTAACTTGTTATTTTCTATCTTTGAAGAGGGCGAGCCTGGAGTAGTGGTAAAGCTGTTCCTTTATGACTAAAAGGTCATGGGTTCGAATCCAGGAAACAGCCTCTTTGCAAATATGCAAGGGTAAGGCTGCATGCAAGGATTTCCCTCACCCCACCCTCCCTTAGGAGTGGAAGAATTTCCTTTTTCTTTGGCTACAACTACATTTTGAATTTTGGAGGTTTATCTGTTTGTGCAACCTTGCACATGCATGTTTAAAGAGAAGCAAGGCACTGTCTCCCTGTTATATACTTGTTTTGCCAATATTTTGCATTGGGAAAAGGGTGTTCATATTGATGTTTTATATCAATTAGTTAATAATCGTATTTGGATATTGGGTATGTTGAGGAGCATGGTTGTTAAAATGTAGTTTCGGCATGGTTGTCGATGTTTGTGTGGTTTTTTTTTTTTTTTTGGTTGACAAAAAACGTGTTGGAATGGAAGTAGAAACAGGATCTAGATCAAAACGGTTGAAACACCGTGTCAACTCGGTTGACTCGGCGAGTTTACCGAGTTGACTCAGTTCTGAAAAAAAATAAAAAAAGAAATCTGCTGTCGTCCTTGCTTCTTCACCCAGTTGCATCGTTCTTCTTCTTAACCCAGTTGCATCGTTCTTCACCCAGTTGCAGCGCTGCGGACATCACCATCTTGTAGTGATGTGCTGTGCTGTGCTTCTGCTTGTGTTGCTGTGCTTCTGCCTTCAGCTCAATCATAGTCACTGCACTTGTTCGCAAGCACCCATCAGGCTGATTGAATGCCTATCTTTTTTTACTACTTGAATGCCTTTCTTAGTTCTTTTACTACTAATTATTATAAATTATAATTGTTAGAATATACTAAAAACATTGGTTGAAAGTTGTTTTATAAATTATAAATTATAATTCCATTCTATATAATAAAAACATTGTTAGAATATACTAAATATAAATTATAATTCCTTTCTATATATTGGTGTGTTTTATTTTATATATGCTGGATATATATATATATATATATATATATATATATATATATATATATATATATATATATATTCGTAGTAAACTCTTATGTTTCATTTACGTTTCACGATTTTACGTTTTTGCTCATTCCTACCGTTTCTACGTAGACTTTACGTTTTAACACAATTGCTCAGGAGTGACTACTATATTTATTGTTAAATTTTTTATAACTTGATTATAGATGAATATATCTGGTGCAGGAAGTTAAAAAAAAATGGACCATGACAAGACTGGATGCCAAGCTCCCCCCGAAGGTCCTATATTGTGCATCAACAACTGTGGGTTTTTTGGAAGTGCAGCCACCATGAACATGTGTTCAAAGTGCCACAAAGACATGATGTTGAAACAGGAGCAGGCCCAGCTTGCAGCATCATCCATTGGGAATATCATGAATGGGTCATCAAGCAGCAGTGAAAATGAACCTGTTGTTGCTGCTAATGTGGATATCCCAGTCCTTCCAGTAGAGCCTAAAACTATCACTGTGAAATATTTATTTGGTTCAGGTTCAGAGGAGAGTGGTGAGGCAAAGCTGAAGGATGGTCCAAAACGTTGCAGTAGCTGCAATAAGCGGGTTGGTTTGACCGGATTTAATTGTCGATGTGGTAACCTTTTCTGTGCCGTACATCGCTACTCAGACAAGCATGATTGCCCATTTGATTACCGCACTGCTGCCCGGGATGCCATAGCTAAAGCAAACCCAGTTGTCAAGGCTGAGAAGCTTGATAAGATCTAAGATCTGGTATCTTGAAGTTTCATGCCTTGAGATGATGTTATACCCAATTTCGTCATGACATGGCGCAAGTTTCCTGCACATTTCGTTGGTCTTCTTCTATTATATTGTTTATATGTGGTGGGGGACTTGGGAGTTATATGACATGTCTGCAATTTGAAGGACTATTTATTGTGTTTGGCGAAAATATGTATGTTGCCCGAGTGTGTTTTTAAATCTCTGCTGGTTTGGTGGAAGTTGGTGTTGTTAGCTTTGTAATGCATCTATTCTGTTTCGGAGAATGGTACGTTCAATTTACAGATGGTTTCAAGAGCATCCATGGACATTTAGATTGTAATTATTTTGGGCTATCTATGAACTTCTCTCGATAACAGTGTCTTGTAAACGTTTGGGCCTTTTCATATCCTTGAATGTTTGCAAATTTGAAAATCAGTGTTAGAATTGGAACTCAGCTAGAGTAATTGTATATTGGGACAGAGTGAACACGATTTAGTAAATTTATTTGTTAAAATCTACAAAGCAGGACACGCTCCGTGAGAAAAAATTTGCGTGTCGGACTCGGACACGTTCTGACATGCTCGGACACGCGTCTGACATGTAGTCAACATTTGGGGACACGTGATCAACATTCCGACACGTTTTTGGACACGCAGTTAACGCTCGGATATATTTTTTATTTTTATTTTTATTTTTTTTTAAAATAATTTTTTTTTATTTTGTTAACTAAATATAAAAGAAATAATTTATAAATTAATTTTTTTCTGTTATGAAATTTATATATTTGATTGGTTATATGACTTATTATGGACTCTTATATGTATTAAATATAAATTATATTATATATATATTAAAATTTTTATTTAATATTAAAACGTGTTCCAACGTGTCCAAATATGATATTTTTTAGAATTTACGTGTCAACGTGTCGTGTCCGTGTCCGTGCATCATAGCTTAAAATGGTTAAACTTACCTAAAATTTGCCGCGGCTCTAATGGTTTGCTGAACCCTATTGGCTAGCTGCAAGGTAGACTTGGTAATCCATTCGAACTCAACGGTTAAAATTTCTCAATGATCGAAATATTAAAGCATCAGCACTATAAAGGACAATTTAGAGGGATTGCCAGGAGATCCTAGCCATAATCACTTAAGCTCATTGAGTCATTCTCACAGCCTGAAGCCGGTTATGTTCTCCCAGCCAAACAAACTGAAACCAAATGGATTGCTGGAGCAGTAAGTACCATGTAATAAAAAGAAAACAGAACACAAAATTATCTAGAAAACTAATCACTCCCAATTTCTGAACACCAGTTGGTGGGAAAAACTCAATATGCTTTAGCTAAATTGTGTAATGTGGGCAATTTTACTGACGCAGTGCGCAGCACAACTCATACATCTAACATACCCTTCTGCAACCTAATTAATAATCCATTAAACTTGTAGGTAGAGGTGTTCTACTCTCTCCCCCCACCCATACACACATTAAACTTGGGGATTCAAATAGGTATTCTACTTTGAGGGGGCATTTGATAGAGGAGAAAAAAAATTTTATTCGAAAATCTCGATTTTAAAAAATATAACTTTTAACAGTTTACGATAATATCCGAAAATTTAAAATTTAAAAAAATTCAGTTTTCCAAAAATCCTGAAAAATACCACGTACCAAAAGCCGCCGAGGAATTATTCATTTCACCCTCGATGCAAATATTAAATAAATCAAAGTCATTTAGGGGGTGTTTGGTTCAAGTTTTTGGAGAGGATTACCGGTAATCCTTCTTTGGTAAATGTAATTACCACGTTTGGTAGAAGGAATAAATTACGATTCCCGGATATCCAAGGATTACCGGTAATTTGATTTATAAAGAAAAGTCACTATTCAGATTACCAAAAATAATATGGTAATTCGGAATACCAATCAGAATACCAAGTAAAGGGAAAGCACAACAATAAATTTTGAGACAAAAATACCCCAATACACATAAAAATCTAGACCCAATCTATCAATTACAAAAGTAAAAATAGTTTGGGGTTATTTTTGTAAAATAACTTCATATTCCAAGACATATTTCGTTCTAAACCAAATATGGAATCAGTAATTTTTACCCAATATTCCCGGTAATATTTGTGGCGAACCAAACACATCTTTCGTAAGATTCCAAGTAAACTCAATTTCTACTGAATTTCCATTAATCATGATTCCCGGTCACCAAAAAATTGCTCTTGTACCAAACACACCCTTACAGTGTTCAATCTTCGGCTGAGACTTTAGTAGTTTCACCTTAAATTGTGGGTCGGATTTTATCTGAGCTTGGCCCACAGAAAAGCGTTGAGGACTCATTATATGTTCGCGTCATATCTGTAGGAAAGCCCTACCCAGATTATATGCTAGGACAATTCACAAAGAAAACAACAGCTTGTACACGAAAAAAGAAAAAGAAAAAATAGAGAAATAAAAAATACTATAGAGAAAGAATTTTGTCAGAATGATTTTAATTTTATGAGTCAGCCCCATAATTTTTATGGTTGGCCCTTATTCACAAAACTTATTTTGTGTGGACTTTTCTTTACCCTAATCCACAAAACCATTTGAGCAAGTGGATTGGGCCGAAACTTACTCACGGATTAAAACTATTTTATCATAAAACACACATATTAAAAAGGTAAAATAAATATAAATATAAATGTAACTAATATATATTATAAATATAAAATAAAACATAAAACATAAATAATAAATACATACTCTATATTATATTTCTACAGAATGTATAAAAGAATTTACATAAAATAAATTTAAAATGACACAAAGTTGTATCTTTTAAAATCATAAAAAAAAAATTCCCCTTTGGATATCTTGCAAAATAAAAACGAAACTTTGATGGGGAGCATGTGAAATTTGGAACAGTCTGTTTTGAAGCAATGAATAAAGCAATATTAATTTAGTTTAACAACACTCTCCAAGTGGCGGAGCCACAAACAAGCTGGGGGTATATGGGACAGGCTAAATTTTAATAAATTGTATTTATTATATATAATTATATAATTAAATATTATTTGATCTGGATTAAAATTATAATTTGGCTCGGGCTAAAAATTAAAATATATTTAATGAGAGTATGAGAGATTTGGGTAAATTATATTAGGTTATGTGTTTTATTTTTACTTGTATAAAAAAATTAAAATATATCTAATAAAATTAAAAAATATTATAAAAAGCCTAATGGGCACTTTGTACAGAAAGCTATACGGGGTGTAAATGGTAGGGGTGTGCGAAATAACCATAAAAGTGAGTCGAACCATGAACCGAACCGAACCGAACTGCCCCACAAAATAACCAGTTTTAAAAACCGGTTCATGAACCGAACCGATTTTTAAAGAACCGGTTCATGAACCGAACCGGTTTTTAGAACCGAACCGAACCATTTTCAAATCAAACTAAATTAATTTTTATAACTTTATTTTTTAAATTTTAATTTTTTTTTCTTTTCAAAAGAAGGTTGACCCGAACCGGTTTTGAACCGATTCCGAACCACTTCCGAACCGGTTCCAAACCGAACCAGTTTTGAATTAAACCGAACCATTTAAACCAATTCGGTTCGATTTTTCAAAAAAGCTGATTCGGTTTGACCCATGCACATCCCTAGTAAATGGGCTGGGCTTTGGCCTTCCTGACCCAAGCCTACGTAAAAAAAATTCAGCCTATCTGGCCTATTAAAGGCTTTATTTGTAGGCCAAACTCGGCCTATTTTTTAAAATAAGAAAGCCCGACATGGCCTACAGGCCTTGTAGGCCTTCCACTGTAGATACTAAGCAAAAAAAATAATTGTATAGAGCAAAGAAAGTTTCATTCATGCATGCACTAATACTTATCATAAGAAAAAAATAACAAACAAGAAAGAGTCAACATAATACCCCAGCTCTAGAATGTATATCATAGAGGAATAGAGTCAAAGAAATGGAAAAAAAAAAAAAAAAAATTATTGGGTGCTGAAATAAAGTATACAAGAGAATGTCATTCATCTAAAAATTAGAGTTGGTATTGGTACTTTGCCATGTCACATAAAATATATTATTTTATTTTTATTAAATTAAATAGGCCAGCCTACAAGGCTTTGGGCCAGGCTTGGCAAAATTGACCTACGGCCTATTTGTTAAAATGTTTTCTTAAAAGCCTAAGCCTACTCTACTTTTCTGAAAAGTCGGGCCAAGCCAGGCTTAATGTAGGCCGGGCTGTAGGTTGGGCCGGGCCAGCCTGCCGCATTTACACCCCTATATACGACAAACAAGAGCTTTTCTTTCCTTATCTCTCAGTTTCAAATTCAAATCTAGCTTTCTTCTTCCTTCGATTCTTCACATCAGCAGTGCTCTGGACCTCTGGTGGTGCTGCCTCTTGGTTATTTTAAGGTGAGGCACCTCTCTCTCTCTCTCTCTAAATATGATTATCAATTTTTACAAGATCCATGTTGGAGGCTGGAGCATTGTTGAGCATTGCGTGATTCAAATGCATCTGAAAATTCTGAGTATTAAAAATGAGGAACTATTGTATGATATTGGTTTCTTTTTTTTCTGGTTTACAGCTTGTGAAAAATCTACAATTTTTTGTTGTATTAGTGATATACGAAATGAGGAACAGCGGAACTATACGACATCGACATGGATTTTTTTGTTTTAAAAATCTGCACTTTTTGTATTAAAAATAAGGAACTATACGACACTTTTTGCATTGGCTTGATTGGGGAAATGGATTAGAGTCAATAGACACCAAGTTTTTTTTAAAAAAAAATAAAAAATTAGTCAAACTAATATATCATGTTAAAACCATATCATTTGACAGTGTTATATATTTTTTGCAGCTACAAAATTGGTGAGGGAGTTTTGCACTTAGTGAGGCTTTAAATAGCTCAACACCTAATATATTGTTGGATAGGTGAACGGTGCACTTATTGAGGGAGTATATTGTTTTGTATTCATTACTTCTTGTAGTGTTGCTGTTCAATGATAATTTTTAATTTTGTTCTCTTAAAAGCTATTTTTTTATAGTGTGGTTGTTCTCTTATTCTTTTTAAATTCACAACCTCTTTTGTATTGTTATTGCTTAACATAAACGTCTATCTACAAATTGACATGTAGGTTGAAAAATTATGGGCAAGGATAAACATAAAAGTATAGATATGTTCTTTAAAAGGAAAGTAGTCTCTCAAGGTGAATCAAGTGATGCTCCTATGGAGGTTATTGGTGAAAGTGATGCACCTTTTTATGAGCAACCTCCTTCCAAGTGTTGTAGACTTGAACATACTGATGACATTATTATAGTCAAAAATAAAATTTTTGAACATGATCCAGGAAAATGTAAGCCAATTTGGGAATATTCAGCTAATGAAGTCGATGAGATACAGAGAGCTTATTTAAAAGTTGGGTCATATCAACCTCAATGCTCCTATCCATTTTCAAAGGAAAAGCATCCTCGACGTTTTCAAGCTTCTTGGTTCAAAGAATTTTCTTCGTGGCTTGAGTATTCACCTTCTATAGATGCTGCATTTTGCTTACCATGTTATATTTTCAATACAAAGCCAAATTTCTATCATTTGGTTGACATGCTAATTCGTCTTATCTTAACACTACATGTTTCAACAGCAAGTAGTGAGCGTGCATTCTCAGCAATGAAAATTGTAAAAACAAGACTTCGAAACAAAATGAAGGATGACTTTCTTGCAAATAATTTGGTTGTGACTGTCACGAGCTTCGAGTCTCACTTTTCCGGCGTCAGCGAGATTCCGGCAAGGTCGAGTTGAGGAACGCAAAGTGATGGGAGAGAAAGTTGGAGCATATGAAGCATTAAGCAAATTCCAATTTGAAAAACTTAAATCTAAAAAACAAAAGATGCACATGAAGTGAGAAATGATACAAGAAGAAAGAGCTTAATTTTTTGAGAAGAAATAGGAGCAAACAAAAAGAGTACCACCAGAGGCGGGGGCGCTAGAGAAGATGAGCGCTGAAGCATAAAAACCTAAGTGATACACGTTCTTGGTGCTTCCTTTTTTTTCCCGTTAAGTTTGGGTTGGATTTTAGCTAAGTTAAGTTCTTTTTTAAAACCAGGCCCGCCAGAAAATATTTTAATGACCAAAACAAATGGAGATCGCTAACAATAATATGGATTGGTATATAGATAATGAAATAATATAATTTTAAATTGTGGATGTTTAAAACCTGTTAAAAATTAAATCATTTAGTGGAGGATTTCCTAACCTACACTAAAAAACCTCCAATAATCAACCATTTTTTTATAGTGATATATATGAGAAGGTTATATTTACAAACATTTTATTTACATACTTAGTGTAATTTATAAAAAAAGTTTGTAAAGGGATCCATCCTCATATATATATATATGGTAAAGGATTTTTTCAGTCAATGGAGATAAGTTATCTCTTGTGAATACAAAATAATATCATTTTGGGGCAGAAATCAAAGTATTTTTATAATTATAATGTATTGAAGGGTTATATTAGTCTTTATCATTATAATTTTTTAATTTTATAACCTAAAACGACATTATTTTGAGTTCACTAAAAATAATTTATCTTCGGTGACCGAAGAAATACTTTTCTCATTATATATATATATATATATCGCTTATTTATTAGAACGATATACAAGTCAGAGCTTCCATAATTTACCTGAATCGAATCGAGCAAAAGCCTCATGAACATTCAGCTAAATACACTAACATAAATAATAGATATGGTATTTCTAAGCAGTCAATGTTGCATTGAAATTCAATATATTTTTCTTTTTCAATTGCGAGAATGATAAACCAAAAGAATAAAAGAAAAGCAGAAACAAAATTGCATTGTAACTTTTTGCCCACACACTTCCCGACCTCCGAGCGTCTCTTCTGTCAGTCATTCCACATAGTAAACACGCCAGCATTTGACGTCTGCATGGACTCCGCCGCCGACCAGCCACCATAACCACCGGAAGGCATGTCATAATCAACCTTAAACAACCCAAGTTCCTCCGCTGATCCCACTGTGTTACCCGATGAGGAATTCAAAGCAATCCCAAACCCATTATTCCCCATAAACCCTCCACTATAACTCCCACTAGACCCGCCACCAACATTGTTATTCTCCATCACAGATGATGAAGAAGAAGACCCCATGTTCATCATTCCCGGAAGCAAAACTTGGTGGTTCTGAAAGTAACTGTTATAGAACTGAGCATTATTCTGAGCTGACTGGTGAACGTAATTAGAAGAATCACTCTGCTGGTGCAACTGAAGTTGTGTTTGTATATAAGGGTCTTGAGAGCACTGAGAGATATCATGGTTTTGTAAATTTAGCAAAGGTTGAGATTGTTCAAACTGATGATGCATTATTATAGGGTAAGCTTGTACTTGTTGCCTTGTGCTTGAGGTTCCATATTGAAAGCTTGATCCAAGTGCAATATTCATCTCTTCACGCTTCCTCGAAGACTCAAGAGCTTGAGCTTCCTTTAGTCGTTTAGCAGCTCCTCCTCCTATTGGGAGAGTGTTGCTTTCAAGAATGGCTTTCACATCGTAACGATTCATGTCAAAGTTAGTGACAGCGTTAAGACCTCTGAATTTTATCGCAGCTATGTCGTAAGCTTCTGCAGCCTCTTCCTCAGTACCTGTAATATAAGTTGAATTCGATTAACTAAGATGAGTGTTGATCGGTAATTAATTTGTTTTGTTGTTTTGAATGTTGGAGGTTATGAGTTTGATAGATAAGGGTTGAGACTTTAGATGTGTTTGAATCAATACACCAATAAAAACTTGTATAACGAGCGAATTGCTATGAAAATTGTGTCGCTTATTTGATCCTCACAACTATTTTCGGTTACAGATTTCCTCGCAATTCCGTCATTATATAGGTTTTTTCGTCGCTATATATTTGGAATAGTTAACAGTGGTATTTCCGGTGCAGTGAAATTCTAGAATTAATGCAAACTATTTGACTCTGGTCCATATATATCTAATAATATATCTAATAAGATGCTCTCACCTATTGAGCTTACTTATACGTGAACATGTTATTCGAAATATATTATTAATATATTCAACATTGAATTCCAACGTAGTGTGAGTTTGTGTGCCTTGAGGTTAAATATTTGGCTTACTGAAAGTTCCCAAGTAGAGGTCTTTGTTTCCTGCGACTCTACCAATCCTTGCTTGCCATCTTCCGTGTTGGTGATGCCTGATCAAAGAATAATAATAATAATCTACTAAGATAAAGTATAGAAAGAAAGGGAACTAATACATGAGATGAGAGGGAGAAGAAAACATTGTCGTCCCATTTGACACCTTGTAACTCCACGATACATTGATGCACCCCTCGAGAAACCACTGCTTTTCCTGCAATTCATCTCCGAAAATTTAACTACTAAATTTAAAAAATGATTGTTCAAATAATCATTATTGCACTATATATGGTTAACTTAAATATGCTGATATTAATTAATCACCTTCTAATGGCGGCCACAAATTCTTGTCTGGTCATGTGCTTCATTTCATCCAATTCTTTCTCATAGTTGCTGATCTTAAAACGACATGAAATGAACAAACAAGACCTTCGTTTGAACAATTGTTTAAGAAGCATCGAGAAAGTAGAGTCATTAACTTACTGGAAAGTTGGTAGTGGTGGATGTACCCCAGAACTTCAGTGCAGCTAAATCAAAAGCCCTAGCTGCTTTATCTTCTTTATCATATCCACCTTGCATTAGATAAAAAAAAATGAAAACAATATATTATGTAGTTCAATTCTGTATCTCTAGTAACCCAAAGAAAGAAAAGGGGTTGGAAAATAATCTGAAATGGATCACACTTACCTAAGTAGACTGAAGGAAAGTTGAGAAAAAAAGCAGAAGCAAAACACGAGAAGAAATGTATTAATAAAACTCCAAATCAATATAACTTGAGAAAAAAAACTTCAATTTTTTTAATTCAAACTATGATACAAGAAAAGAAGAATAAAACCCATTTGAAGCTTTACCTTGGCGACCTTTTCTTGATTGTCCTTCCCTTCTACAACTATTATCCCAAAGGTGAGCTTCATACCTTCCGGTCCATCTATGTCTATAGATATATATATATATATATATATATATTTTGCAAAATTAGAGGAAAAAAAAAAACAACAACAACATCAACATCAACGTCAAGGACACATTTATCCAAAATGAGTTAAGGTCGGTGGTAGATGAATCTGAATGAAAAATACAAAAAGATTTAGGGACAATAGAGTGTTAAAAAAAAATGAGCCAAAGAGTGACTATCCCACCTTGTTACACCACGATATATTGATGTTCTCTGCCCTAAGGTATCCAAAGCTCTTTTAGGCACACCTTCAACAATGTTTGTACTATTGTCAGCGCTAGTTTCACATGTTGAATCCTTACCACTTCCCACGGATAATTTTAACGATTGCAAAGTACTATTAGCATTTTCTTGATACTTATTGCTAGATGTGGCTACCATTAGGTTTTGCATTGGCACGAGACTGCTATTTGTGAAAAGATAATCTGAATCTTTTGACTGAATTTCATTCAAGGCAGCAAGATCTGACTGATTTTCAGACTTGCTCACACCAAGAAAATCTGCAACCTTTGGAACTTCGTTGTTGCTGGGAGTATTAATCAGATTCCAATCTGTTTAATTAAGTTAAAAAACAAAACAGGTAAGAAGGAATAGTTGACCAGCCAAATTAATACAGAATGAGAGAGAGGGAGAGAGATACCATGATTTTGGAAAGGGTTTTCGATGTTCTCGTTCACTAACCCAAGAGAAAATTGATGATATGGAATTGCTTGGATATCATGAGCTGGTAAAGAAGAATGAGTAGGAGAAAGGGGGAAAGAAAGCCAGTTGTTGTTCATTGCGCTCTTTTTCTTTTGCTTTACCCTTCAACAAATCAAGAAACACATGCATCTAAAACACAAAAATAAGAAGAGATATATAAAGAATATAGAGTAAAATAAATTGTGCAAGGGAAGAGAATGACAAAAAAAGTGATGACCAAAGAAACATGAAAATTACCCAGGGTTCTAGCAAGGGTTTAAATCAATTGACACTTTTTGTATCTCTCCCACACTTTCAACTTTCAACTTTCAAGCTCAAGATAAAGAGGGAGGAGAAGGGGCTAAAAAGAGAACATTTTAAGGAAGGTGCAATATTTAAAATGCTTCCCCTCCCCCTCTTCCTCGTTCTGTCCTACTTACACTCTATTATAAGTTAAAACTAAATTAAATGAACTCTATGACTCGCTGTGAGAAATGAATCCTCTCATATTAAAAAACATATGATATGGTTACGTGGAAATATTATAATTATACAAAGATGAATCAATGATTATGATTTTATAACTATCTATTTCAATAATTTTTCTCACTACTTTTTACACCATTGATTCACCTTTATATGATTATGATTCTTGACATGACCATGCCCTTTTTTTTTTAATATGAAAGGGTTCAGATCCACGAGTGTCTCACCCTTTTAGCGAAGGTCGGTTTTGTAGACTCTGACTCTATCCACAAGTTTCCAACACTAGGAAAATGAAGTTAAAATCTGCCAACAATGATTATTAAATAATTAATATCTGTGTAGGACATTATTGGGGACACGGGTGTCTATACTAAACTATAATACTTCAAATCCTTATGTCTTTGTACAGAGACAATACCACCATTCCAACTGAAAAAAATACAATCCCATACATTTCATCTTTCTCTCTACCCGCTTGGTTTATCGGAACTCTCATCCTCGTTCAGTGAAAACAATGACTCCTGAAAGCCCAGCATCCCACACACTACAAATATCTCAAAATCGACGATTCTACGTAAATTTTATTAATACACTAACACCTTTCTCTATGTATTCTAGCTACACAATATCAATGAAACTAAAATAATATCAGAAATCATGTACATTAGGGAGAGAAGATATCACCAATTAGGTATATATATAATTTAACAAAGAAAACCCAATCTTTGGATCCACGAGTCCTGCATGTGTTAATGATGCATGAGTACGGTCATGCAGTATTAATTATATGCGAGAAAAATCCAACGTAATAAAAAATGAAAATACTGAAAGGAAGAGCGAGAGTTACTTTTGTTTAAAATGAGACCAAACTCATATTAATATTAATTAATTAACTCGATTCAATTGAACAATAATTAAGAAATATTATTTGAAGGGTTTCGTTTGTTCCCCCAAGTAGAAATCTGTTGACCGCCTACTCGGTTTCCTCACCCGTCAAAAGGGCGCGCACTAGCTTGAAATTGGTTAAAATTGAAATGAAATAAAATAAACAAATGTTATCAGTATCTGGTTCATGTCCTACAACACTAGAATCTTGTATTTTGCTTTGGCTAAGGTTTATTCTATAAGGTCCATATCTAGAATACACAAATTAAAAAGATCCTGTTAACCATAATGTATGCACATGCAGTAACTTAATTTACCCGCACTTAGCGTCCTTGACCTAATACGTCTTCATATATATATATATATATCCTAGTGAAATGATTACAGAACATGGCACACAAATCTCATAATTTATGGAATGTCCAAGTTATCGCTCAATAATATATAGAATATTTAACTGGTAGAGATAGGGAATGTATTAATTAAGTTACTAGCTAGGCAAAACTTGGATCTCGTAATATGTATTCCGCAATTACAGCACACACAGACCTTTTATGAAAAAGTGTTTGTTGGTAACTTAATCACAAATGTAATGCACAGTATACTTATAAACACAAATAATATATAATTTTATATCACTGACGACACAGATTATTTTAATAAACCTTTTTATTAGTGATTTGGTAAATAGGAAGTAAGAATGTGTACAGATTCATATATTGCATCCAACAACATGTATTAAGAGGAATAAATTTACAAAGCTACAACAATATATTGTCCATTCACACGTTAACTACTGCTACTTGTGAGGTTGTTCATAAAAACGTTCTGTTACTAAAAAAGAAAAGGGAGACACACTGTGCTATGATTTATAAATTTCCCACACTATGATCAAGATGAATACACGCACTCACGCAAGCGCGCGCACACACACTAACACTAACACTAACTATTACGGGGAATCCATGCATGTTTTTATTTATAAAACTTAAATTTCTATTAACCGAGCAGTGCAGAATTTTATTAATAAGTAACTATAATTTATAAACCATATTGCACCAATCTAATCCAATTAACTCATTTTGAATCTAAACTAAGTAGACTACAACCATAGCAAATTAATTAATCTAATAGCAATTTTACCAACAATGACAAGTAAGTGGCACTCGCAGTAAAAAACATAAACAATTCCGAATACCTGCTAAAGTTGATGAAGCACTGTTCTCGCCAAATTCTGGTTATTAAAACAAAGGCGATTTTGACTGAACTGCACCACAATAAGGGAGCAAAACCCCAAGTCTTTCATTTTCACCTTTCAAATTTTCTACCTCTACAACTAGAACTAATTGAACATATGAATGGTTAAAACCCTCATCATTCCAAAGGTCAAAACCCTTTTGTTCATATACCAAAACTAAGTATTTCTTCAAAACTTGTACATCAAGAAGACGAATTACACCGGACCACAGTATATAAAAAAATAAACGCTGAAGTAGCAATCAAAATCAAAATGGAACTCAAAAGAAAACAAGGTGCATGTGGAATCTGTTTCTCTCACAATATTTTATGTTTTTCTTGGAAAATGTGGGAGATAATGAAGAGAATAAATACTGATTAGCGAATGAAAGAAGGGGTTCGTGGTGGTGTGACGCTGATTGGCCACCGGCCATTTACAGTCAACCCAATTAATCTGGTTGTCATGTCGTTTCAGGTTCTGCAGCTAAATTCAGAGTCAGAGGAATGTCACTGACACGTGTCGGTTGTCCTTTCCTGCTTCGTGTTCTTTTTGTCTTCTTACTTTCGCTTTCAAACTTTGCAGCCAAACGGGCCAATTATCCGGTTTGCATGCCTGCGCTAAAAAACGCAAGTAGCTAAAGAACTTTGACCACTCTTTCTCCACCCTATCCAAAATTATCCTTCATTATTATCACAATACCTATCCTTCAAAGAGGATGGAGGGTTTTTCCATACCCCGTGGGATATCAGTGTTTAATTTCATTTAAATTTTATCTTAAAAAAAAAAAACTTATGTCATTTCATTTTACTTCAAAATATATAGTTACAATATGAAAGTTATTTTTTTTCTCTGTAAGTCACTTAACAAAATTTTGAAAAAAAAAAAAAAATTAACTTTAATATTATAACTATGTATTTCCTAAAATACCTAAGAACAATTTTCCCCAAGAATATATACTAGAAAGTTTGTTTTATTTGTTCAAATTCATACATAAAGGATTAATATTTGATCCAATTAATTAATATGTAATTTTACTTAGACTTTAATTAGGTTTTTATAGCTCATTTTCAAAGAAAAGATTAACAAGTTGATGATTTGAAGGAGGACATGTGGGTAATTGCATCATGGGTTGGAGGGCATTTAAGGACAACGGAGCTCACGAGGATCCAGAGAAAAATTTGAGAATTTCCAAGAGATGGGAGGAAATGCAGGGAAAGTGCTCGTGTCGCCTCGAAATGAAACACTCAAAAAGCTTGGTGTTATGTTTGGTGTCACTCTGTCAGTCCCTCTGCGCGCGCGCGTATCCACATATATATATATATATATATATATATATATATATATATATATACACACACACGAGAGAGGTTATAGTTATTATCTCTTATTGTTACTACTTGTTACTAGCTACTAAATTATAATCGTTGATTTCCGTCAATCTAACGATTATAATTTATTGAATCATGCTTAATAATTAATTATTAATTTCCAATAAATTATAACTGTTAGATTGAAGGAAATCAACAGTTACGATTTAGTAGTAACAAGTAGTAAGAAAAAGAAGTGATAATTATAATCTTCCCCTATATATATATATATGTATGTATATATATATCTATACATACATATATATGTATGAGTTTATATTTCTGCAGTTGTTGTATATGCAGCAATCAAATCAGTGGCAGAGCCACATGTTGGCTGGGGGTGGCCTCGACCCGGGCTAAATTTTAACAAATTGTACTTATCATGTGTAATTATATAATTAATTATAATTTGGTCCGGTTTAAAATTGTAATTTAGCCCGGGCTAAAATTTATAATTTGGCCCTATCAAAAAAATAAAATATATTTGGTGAGAGATTTTGGTAAATTGTATTAAGTTATGTGTTTCATTTTCACTTATATAAAAAAATTAAATATATTTAATAAAATTAAAATTATTTAATAAAATTATAACTCTTTTTGATACTGTCTGCTCAGGTATTTTGCATTTAATATAATTTAAATATATTATGATATGAACTAACTAAAATTAAGAAAAATAAATACACATATAATTTTTTGGCCTGGGCTCCAAGTGGACCCTGGCTCCGCCACTAAATCAAATACTTGTCATATATATATATTTGAAAACATTAAATGCGGGAAATCATAATCATACAAAAGATAAAAACATTAAATATGGGGAATCATAACCATACACCTGTCGTTGCTGTACGTAAAGCGGCTGCAGAAATAATTTTATCTTATAAATCTATATATATATATATATATATATATATATTTATATTTATGAGATAAGATCCATTGACACCAATATCAAACTTTAAATGATAACTGTTGATCGACGAAAATCAACGGTTAGGATTTGGTGTCAAATTTTAAATTGACACCAAATCCTATCCTTTGATTTTCGTCAATTAACAGTTATCATTTATTGGGAATGAAACTTAATAATTAATTATCAATTCTCAATAAATAATAACTG